ATGGCCCAGGCTCCAGAAATCACAATCTTGGTGGAAAAAACAATGAGGTTAATAAAGCAATACCATAGGGTGCTTGCTGCTCTGGCTCTGATTCAGAGGAGCTGCACATCTATGGCCACAAGGGCTGGAGAGGGAAGCACTGACATCTGAGCGTGCCTACAGACTGCCTCCACATTGTCCTGCCAGACAATGCTTCCGGGTCCCTCAGGGGCCAAGTCCTCCTGAAACATGCTGTCTCTGCCCTTCAGGGTGTCCTGGCACAGCCTTGCTGACGTGCAGGAAAAACCTCAAAGGTGCCCAGCCCTGACAATGGTTTCCAGAGCTCTGCCTGTCACCCAGCCACCCCGAGGGCCTCTGCCTCTGATGCTCCTCATCAGCCAAAATGCAGCCCACAAGGCAGTGTGGCCTCGTCCTCCTCCCTGTCAATGTGTCCCACCACTACTATGCCCTCACTGGGGCTGCTGCAGTGTGTCCCCATGAGCTCAGAACTTCAGCCTTATTGTGTTGGGACTCCCAGCCCAGATTCACTTAGAGCCATAGAATCTGAGTGGTTTGGGTGGGAAGGACCTTAAAGCTCATCTCATCCCACCCCCTGCCATGGGCAGGGACACCTTCCACTAGCCCAGGTTGCTTCAAGGCCTGTCCAACCTGGCCTGGAACACTCTCAGGGATGGAGCAGCCACAGCTTCTCTGGGCAAACCTGTTCTGGTGTCTCACCACCCTCACAGGGAAGAATTCCTTCCCAGTATCCCATCTCGCCCTGGCCTCTGGCAGTGGGAAGCCATTCCCCCTTGTCCTGTCCCTCCAGACCCTTGTTCCAAGTGCCTCTGCAGCTCTCTTGGAGCACTGGAAGGAGCTCTGAGGTCTCCCTTCACAGCTCAGAGAGGACTTTGGGGTGTGTTTGCTGTAACTGGGCTCCAAGGGGCTCCTGATGGCCCTGGGGAAGCAGAGGGGACAGGGCTCAGCCCTGATCCATGACAAGCTTGTGCTCAGTTAGGCAGGGCCTGGCTTGTCCAGCACTGCTGTGAGGAAGAGCTCTTGTGTCCAAAGGGAGTTGGCTCTGAGCAGTGAGAAGAGGGTGCTGGCTGGTGCAGCTTTGCTCTCTTTGGGGCAGACAGCTGTGGGCTGCCAGGAGATGGGCACAGGCTTTTAGGGGCAACTGAGCTTCCCTGGAGGCAGCCAATGGACCCTTGGTGGGAAAAGGTTCCACAGTGAGCCGTGAGGAATTGCTTCTGTGCTTTACAGCCTGTCTGCTTAGGGGGCTCAGGGCCTTTTGCCATGGCCTGGAGCTCTGTCGGTCTCTCCTTCCCCAGAGGTGCCCTGCAACGTGTCCTTGGCTCACAGGGGACATGCTCCAGCCTTGTGCCTGTGGAGACACCAGTGAGGCAGAAGAGAAGGTGGAGTGCGGATTATGGGCGAGCTGGATGTACTGGTCAGCACATCTACAGCAGCATGTGCTGTGGAGGTCCTGAGAGGTGGAGAGAGGTGCTGCAGGGCTCAGTTTGTCCGGACTGGGCTATGCTCTGGCACAGACAGGACCAGCAGAGCTGCCCACATTGCTTTGTCCATGAGAAGAGGGAGTGGGAAGACCTACATGGACTACTAGGGACGTGTACATCCCAGAGGGCTTTTACCCAGACCCACAGTGGACTTTTCCACAGCTTCCTGGGGAAATTGTTCTTGGGGAGGGCAGTGCCTGTGCTTGCATCAACCCTGTCATTGTCTCAGGCTCTTCCTGGGTTGGGCTCTGTCAGATGCTCTCCCTCCTCTTCAGCCAGCTGCAGAGGTGATGAGCATGAGCCCTGGAAAGCTCTGGCTGTGCCAGACTCCTGACAGCCTTGAGCTCAGACTCACCTGTTCCTCTGTGTTCAGTGCCACAAAGGATGTTGGTCTACCCCACAGTGGTCACCACCTGAGACACCTATGGCAACATCCCAGAGGGCTGTGTCTAGCTAGGCTGAAACTGCAGAGGGATGAGGGCCATAATTTGTGTAATCCCAAGAGCAAGCTGCTGGCTCTGCACCACAGTCTCTCCAGCCACAGCAGCCTGGTGTGTCCAGGAGCTGTGCATAGCATGCCAATAGTTTGGGATCCCTATGAACCAGCTGAGACAACTGGAGACTCCATTTCTGCTGCACTGACCTCGCAGCATCTTCTGCTTCTGTTTCCCCAGTACTGCTCAGCTCCTGCTGCTATGATGTTGTGGGGCTGTTCCCTGATGGAGTAGTGTCCCTGGAGAGCTCACACACCCCTCTGTTGGGGAAAGCTTCTGCTCTGTGTGTGTCTGGGTGCCTGAGTGCCTGCTCGAGTGCCATGGATATTCCCAACGGCAGTGTGTGCAGAGGATTGCAGGCAAGAGAACATTACGGTTAGTCTGGGACTTGTAATGCTGCTCCCTCACTGTGTCAGTGACAGTAGGGTTTATTTTAGGGTGTCTTCTAATTAGAGATTTCCTTATAGAGTAAGGACATGTGCTGGGGAATTTGGGTTCATATTGGGAATCGTAGAATGGCCTGGGTTGGAAGGACCTTAAAGATCATCTCATCCCACCCCCTGCCATGGGCAGGGACACCTTCCTCTAGCCCAGGTTGCTCCAAGCCCTGTCCAGCCTGGCCTGGAACACTCCCAGGGATGGGGCAGCCACAGCTTCTCTGGGCAACCTGTTCCAGTGCCTCAGCACCCTCACAGGGAAGAATTTTTTCCCAGTATCTGGTCTAAACCTACTCTCTGTCAGTTTGAATCCATTCCCCCTTGTCCTGTCACTCCAGGCCCTTGTAAGAAGTCCCTCTCCATGTTTCTTGTCAGCCTCTTCAGGTACTGGAAGGCCACAGTTAGGTTACCCAAAGCTTCTCTTCTCCAGGCTGAACATACCCAATTCTCTCTGCCTTTCCTCGTAGAAGAGGTGCTCCAGCCCTCTGATCCACTTGGTGCCTCCCCTGGACTCACACCCAGAGGTCAACCCCAATTCTGATGGAGCATTTCTTTCCTGGAAATCAGCTTAGGGTGAGTCCCAGTTCTTGGGCATGTGAACAGCCTTAAGGTCATGGCAGAAAGTGGCTCAGTGTTTTTAATGACTCAAACATGAGAGCAGATTTTGAGCATCTGTAGGATATCAGAAGTCTAGATCAGGGCACAAATCTCATAACTGTGTGTATTTTTCACAGTTCCCACCTGAAGACCATAATAGACCTTTGGATTTTGTCACTAAATTTGGGATTCCTATCCTCTTCCCTGA